TGAGCCCCACCCGGCTAACTATAGAGGATGCATAGTAGCTAAAGAGCTACAAAATATTAAAAATAAAAATACCAAAAAGCATGAGCCGATACCAAACTCTCAGGGTCCAAGTATAATCAAACACAAAATACCTAGTGTCACCAACCTTGTCACCAAAAGTGTTTCGTATGCACAAATGGCAAAAGGAGTCCAATCTTTGCCACAATCTCATATGAAACCTATAAACCCTAACATGGATGAAAAGATTAATACTATTATAAATCTTTTAACTACATTCGACGAAAGGCTGAAAAAACTTGAAAGCAGCACTAAAACAGCTGCCAAACAACGAAAAAGCAGTATAAATGGCTAGTTTACTTAGAATTATGGCATGGAACGCAAATGGACTGCTGAAACATCAGAATGAACTTACGGCAGTCCTAAATATGGAAAGAATTGATGTGTGCCTTATATCAGAGTCACATTTCACTAAAGAATCTCATATCCAAATTAAAGGGTATAAAGTATATCATGCACTGCATCCTCATAACACACCAAGAGGTGGTAGTGCTGTCATCATAAAAGAGAATATTTTTCACTACGAAAAACTGAAACATGAAAAAGAAGAAATACAAGCAGTGGCTGTCTGTGTCAAAACAAAATTCTGTCTTATCACCATCTCAGCCATATACTGTCCACCTAGGTATTCACTAAAAACAGATCAGTACATGTCTTTTCTTAACTGTCTTGGAAACAGATACATATTGGGAGGTGACTTTAATGCTAAAAATACATTTTGGGGATCTCGACTGACAACGACCAAAGGCAGAGAGCTACTGTGCGCCATTGAAGAAACACAAGGTAAAACTTTATCAACAGGCAAGCCCACTTATTGGCCTACTGATACAAAAAAGATTCCTGATCTTATAGACTTTTTTATTTACAAAAATATATCACCTAGTCTTCTTCGCATTGAAGAAGGTTATGATATGAGTTCAGACCACTCACCTATATTACTTACTCTAAGTGAGACTATCTTGCTGAAAGAATACAACCCCACATTGGTAAACAAGAACACTGATTGGGAAAGCTTTAAAATAGATTTGGAGTCTATGATAGATTTAAGAGTCCCACTCAAGAAACCAGAAGATCTGGACTGGGATATCAGTGAGTTTATAACACAAATACAACAATGCGCCTGGAAAAACACGCCCACCTTTAAAATAAAAAATAGAATTACCTACTATCCAGCAGAAATCACAAAACTTATTGCTGAAAAGAGGCGACAGAGACGAATATGGCATCAGACAAGATATCCACAAGATAAAAGAATTCTGAACAACCTTACAAAACAACTAAGTGAAGCAATTCAGAATTACAAAGACGAATCAATGAATAGTTATCTACAACAACTAACCAGCCATCGCACGACAGATTACTCTCTGTGGAAATCTATGAAAAGCTTAAAAAAGCCAATTCTGCACATTCCCCCTATCAAAGATATTAACGAGCGGTGGGCAATAAGCAACGAGCAAAAAGCTATAAGGTTTGCAAAACATCTAGAACTCATTTTTGAGCCAAATGAAGAGCATGAAGATAGCGACTTATTAAATGAAACATCAAATAATGATGAGCAAGAAATAAAATTCGTAACACCTAGAGAAGTGTACAACGAAATCAACCGCCTTAGATTAAAGAAATCACCTGGTTACGATCTTATTACTGCAGAAGTTCTTAAAAACCTCCCACGTAAAGCCATCGTAAAAGTTACGACTCATATCAATGCAACGTTAAGACTTCAGTATGTACCTGATCAGTGGAAAGTTGCCGAAGTTATAATGATACCAAAACCTGGTAAACCACCTCACGAAACAACATCGTATAGGCCGATCTCGCTGCTACCGACAATGTCAAAATTATTTGAAAAGCTTCTTTTAAAAAGACTAAAACCCATCATAGAAGAAAGAAATTTGATCCCTGACTACCAATTTGGTTTTAGGGAAAAACATTCGACTATAGATCAAGTACACAGGATTACCAACATTATTGAAAAGGCTCTAGAAGAAAAAAAAGTTTGCTCCACGATCTTCCTGGATGTAGCGCAAGCATTCGATAAGGTATGGCACAAAGGCCTTATTTACAAATTAAAAAACATGCTCCCTAAGCAATTTGCTGACATCTTAGAGTCTTATCTATCACAGCGTATGTTTAGAGTAAGACATGGTGATGCATATTCAGGACTCAAACCAATAAAAGCTGGAGTACCGCAAGGAAGCGTCCTAGGTCCCGTCTTGTACTTATTGTACACTTGCGATATTCCTGAATTAGAAAACAATACCATTGCCACATTTGCAGACGACACAGCTATTATGGCCATAGGTGCCACTCAAGAAGAAGCAGTGGAAAAAGTTCAAACAGCCGTCAATATCATTTTTGACTGGACAAAAAAATGGCGTGTGAAACTAAATGAATCAAAATCTGTTCACATAGACTTCACAAACAAAAGGACAAATTACCACCCGGTAAACATAAATGGCCATGTAATACCATACGAAAATACAGCCAAATACCTAGGCATGACATTAGACGTAAAGCTTCGCTGGAAAGTTCATGTCAAAAAGAAACGCGACGAGCTAGATCTACGCTACAAGTCGATGTACTGGCTGATAGGAAAAAATTCTTCGCTGTCAGTGCACAACAAAGTTCTTTTATATAAACAAGTCCTCATGCCTGTATGGACTTATGGTATTCAGCTTTGGGGCTGTACCAAACAAAGCAATATCAAAATTATACAGCGTTTTCAAAACAAAGTACTCAGAGGAATCGTCAATGCGCCCTGGTACATTCGAAATGACGACCTTCATCGGGACCTCAAAGTAGACCTCGTCATAGATATAATTAAAAAGTGTGCAGAAGCCCATGAGCGAAGGCTTCACCACCATGTGAACATCGAGGCTATCCAGCTCCTCGACAACACGGACATAGTGAGAAGGCTAAAAAGGACAAAACCTTTTGAGTTAACATAGTGAAGTGTTAGTGTAAAGTAGTGAGTGCTACCGGCAAAGAACACAATAACAAAGTGTCTTCCCCTTAATAGAGACAATAAGAAAAGTGTTAATGGACACATTCTTAGTTATACTTTCCTAGCAAATTAAGACAAAATAGAATTACTTATTAGCATTAAAGCTAGATTGTAATTTTTTTATGATGTTACCGCATGAGGTCACATCATATAAACAAAAAAAAAAAAAAAAAAATAAAGATTGTCTTTGTCGATACCTCTAACCTCTTATCTGTCGACAGACACAATAGAAAGCATATTATGTCTCGCGTATATCCACGTTCCGGGGATTATGCCTCTGTCTCTATTGACAGAAATCAATTGAAAGTAAATACGTCCACGTCAAAAAAAACCTATGAGAAACTCTGCTTCATGATGCCAAATTGTAACTTCAGATCCAATGTCTCTAACGGCCGAAATAAATACCGGTTTTAATACAAAATCGTCGCATTAACACCGCTTTTATACATTATTTGTATATAAAATCTCTGTTATAAACAGAGATCGATTGAAAAATTTTGCCTTAGTTTTTGTGGGCCGCTGCTACGGGTACCCAAGAAGTCCCTACCTAAATCCAACTCTGTATGTACTCTGTTTATTGATATGAGACACAGAATAAAAACACAAGTGCTATGTAGGTGTATGTACTAGCCATTGAAGATGTATTTAAATAGAATTCATGTAGTATGGGTTTTTTGTCCATTCGACTGTTGAAAGAGGTTTTGTCTTATGATTTGTCTTGGTATTATGCCATTATTGTTTTTAAGTATTCAACGTGATTCTCATTTAAATTATTATTACTGAGAATGGCTTGGACACGTGTTAAAAAATAAATAGAGTTTTCTCAACATTGGATATTTTTTTATCTTAAAAACCATGATTTTCTCCTGTGTTGTGGGAGAGCGTTTACAAATATACTACATATTTCACAAATACATGACACCTAGACCCAAAACTACAACATGTGGATCGTACAAAGAGTTGCTCCGTGCGGGAATCGAACCCGCTACCCGTTGCACGGCAGCCAGTTGCCCAGCCACCGCGCCAACAATGCTGTCAATTTACCTTCATTTTCCAAATAGAAGAAGGATCTAAATACAATCCCACATACGTGGATGTTTTATACATGTTTACTTCTGTATAAGTTATATCCGGAATACATTAATTTTACGATAATTATTATTTTTTATGTGTACTTACGTTAAGTTTTAATAAATTGTTTATTGCTACATTTGTGAGGTACGCCATGATGATATCACCAAATGATTGGATTTTGCCATTAAAAGATTTAAACAGACATTTTTTATCAAAAGCATCCGTACTTTAAATTTTCAGTACAGCGTTGCGTTTACTCATATGTGCGAAATAACACATTCATTGAATACAAATTGTTTAGACATACATACATACATAACTTCACGCCTGTCTCCCATGGGGGTAGGCAGAGACTAAGGAACGCCAATTACTACGATTCTTACATACCTCTTTCGCTTCAATAACAGTCATCAATCTTTTCATGCATGCTCGTCGGTTAAGGGTACTTTTAATTTGGCCCTTCTTAAATATATCGCCAATCTGGTCACTATATGTCCGTCTAGGGCGCCCTCTACCGACGGCCCCATTCATATCCGCTCTGTATACTTCTTTCGTTACTCTACTTTCATCCATCCTTTCTACATGTCCAAACCAGCGTAACATTCCCTTTTCATTTCTTGTCACTACATCATCTTTCAATCCACACCTTTCTCTAATAACACTAAATTGTTTAGATTTGGAACTTATTTCACTCAGTTTGAAATTAATGTTTGTTTTTATTTGGCCTATAATAATCAGGCTAATTGGAAGCCCCTTAATTAGGTTTAGAAGGCAATTGCCATTCTACCCTAGATATGACCCATTATGTTACCCCCTTTACAAGGAATAACTAGACACCAATATAACACCTAGGTCTTTGTTTCAGCAACCCTTGCACGGACCGGAACCACATGTTCTTGGCACCAGGAGTGCTGACTGCCGGCAGTATGAACAGGGCTTGTATCTCCAGGTTCCACACTGAGGGACCAGCTCGCATGACTCTAAACCTGATGACAGAAGACAGGCAAACACAGACAGTTTCTAGGGAACTAGGTGCAGGTATGGTTTTGATTTTCTGTATCATTGTGATTGGTCGATGGCAAACAGGCTTGACGCTGCTCATTAGGAAGAGCCCCTCTGTGACTCGAAACTAGTAGAGCTTTTCTCAGTATTCTGTGTTTCTATTATAGTTGTTTCTTATATATGTTTCTCAGTATTCTTTTATAATTACGTGACTAACTCTTAATTTTTAGTTTATTCAGCATATCTCACCATAGTTATTACAAAAACATAGCCTCAAGTAAAACTAGGATTTTCTCCTGTGTCGTGGGTGAGTTTACAAACATACAAGTTCACATGTATACACATGACACCCAGACCCGGAACAATAATCTGTGGACCACACTAAGAGTTGTTCCGTGCGGGAGTGGAGTAACTCTCACTGTCTTAAATCATATGATTCCTAATACTTATGCTGTCTTCGTTGTTCACAGGTGATGGTGGGTGTCTGGACATCAATGTACCCTTGCTGCCAAATTCTAAAGCAGACTTAGTCGTAAACATCAGGTAAGGATAACCAACTCAATAATTAGTGGTTGGGCCAGAGTACCATTCTCTTGCAGAATATCAACGTGAATTGGTAACGTAATAATAATGTATTTGTTGTGTATCTGTGGTATTATACTCTATGGTCATAGTATAGTCTATGGTGATAGATTATCTATGTGCGTTGCGGAGCCCGCGAATTTGTAAAACAATGGAAGACGAATAAATGTGTGTGTCGATAGCTTTCTATATTTTATTTATATTTCGTTAGCTTAAATAACAAACTTAACAGTATTAGAGTTCGTTTTAGAGTACCATTATTTTCTATGAGTCTTACGGGGGGCAAAGGAATGAAGGATTGCGCTATGAAATATTTTCTCAAGTGGTTTTCACGAAATAAAAGCAAACATCGGTCAATCAAGCAACTTTTGGGGACCGGATCCGAATGGGCCGGCTCGACCGGAGTGATACCACGGCCTCACAGAAAACCGACGTGAAGCAACGCTTGCGTTGTGTTTCGTCTTGTGAGTGCAGTTACCGGAGGTCCAATTACCAATTGTGACGCATCTGGTGTTCAGGGTGTCCATGGGCGACGCCGATTGCTTACCATCAGGTGGTCCGTCTGTTCGTTTACCAGCCTATCGCATAAAAAGCTCTCTTTCGTGTATATTCTAAATTGTTTTTTCTTCCACCTAGATATCCTGATGCTCAATGCGTGTGGGAGCGTCGTGTTCCTCTCCGTATCTCCAGCGGACGGGTGGTGGTGCTCTCTACGGAGCGCGCGCGCTACCGGCCTGGAGAGACGGTGCGCCTGCGCATATTGGCGCTACGACAGGACCTCGCACCCTCGCATGGAAATGTGAGTCTATTTTTACTTACTTCGTATTTCATTAATTGTAAGAGATATGAGAAGTTTAGTGTTAACAATTTTAAATTAGTAGGCGTAGAAGCTATAGACATGGCTCTTGTATGTCAACTGCAATGAGTTTCTGCTAATAATTACCAACAGCAGAAGCAATGACTTCACGGGAGATCAATTTATAGATCTACATAGTACAAAACAAAGTCGCTATCCGCCGTCTGTCTGTCCCTATGTACGCTTAGATCTTTAAAACTACGCAACGGATTTTGATGCGGTTTTTTTAATGGATAGAGTGATTCTTAAAGAAGTTTTATATGTATAATACATGAATGAATATTGCACCCGTGCGACGCTGGGCGGGACGGTAGTTAAATATATTTAATGTAGTAACAAAATCTAAAGACAACCTCAGTTGTGAGATGAGATTGTTACTTATTGACATAACCAAAAAACCACACAGAAGAACTGTCATGAAGCCACATAACATAACATCACGTCTTTTATCCCCGAAGGGATAGGAAGAGGTGCACATTATGCCACTGTACAATGTAACACCCACTTTTCATTAATTATGTTATGAGTCCCATGTAAGTGAGCCTATTTCCATATACCGGGCACAATTCCAGACTCCGTGCTACTACTGAGATTTTTTTTAAAACCCAGTAATACTTCGCCCGACCTGGGAATCAAACCCGAGACCCCTTGCCTGGCAGTCGCACTTGCGACCCCTCGGCCAAAAAAGCAGTCAAGGCAGTCTGTCAATAAGCCACCTTTATTGAAAAATTCTCAAAATTTTGTACGAGTTCCGAACCTGATCTAATTTGCATGATCATGTTCACGGCCGACCTCAGGCAAGGTCCAATATTGGCCTTACACCGTCATTAGTCCACAATAAAATCATTGTTGAATAATTTTACGGCACATTCATATATTAAATCATGTTCACACTTTGTCACCATAACTATTATTGTTATTTGCTTCCTAGATATTGTTTGTTTAATGTATGTTTTTTCGGAAAATTGTCCGAAGTTTCAATACAATCATAAATAACATTACGCTTTTCATCTCCGAAAGGATAGGCAGAGGTGCCCATTACGGCAATTAGTGCTACTGTACAATGTAACACCCACTTTTTCCTATGTATAAGTCCGATGTTTTAGAGGGTGAGCCTATTGCCATCTACCGTGCACAATTCCAAACTCCGTACTACAACTGATATTTTAAAAAAAGCCACTAATACTTTTCCCGACCCGTGAATTGAACACGCCTTGCCCAGGCCTCGCCTTGGCAGTTGCACTTGCGACCACTCAATCAACGAAGTAAATACCATCATAATATGTGCCATCTCATATCCTAGACCTTATCGTCACATTGATAAACTTGAGTGGTAGAATACAGCATTAATTCCGCTTTATATAGGGTACACATCTTAA